ACAGTTACTTTCTATAAAAGATGTTTTCCTCTGTGGTAACAAGAGATTGTTGTTGAGGACTCGGGAAGTGTTTCTTGTTCAACATTCCTTTTCCACATCTGGTTGATGTGTGAATGTACTGAACTTCCCATAATTCAGGTAGATGCTGTTGGTGGAACAGGATCAGGTTCTTAAGTAGCCTGCTTGCACTGAGTCTGCAGACAGTCAAGGGAAGCATTTTTCCTACTGGGGGTAGCTCTGCAGGACTGGACCTGACAGTTCTTGGGTCTGCCAAGAGAAAGGAAACTCTCTGGACCTGGAACATGCTTGAAGTAAAGGTCTGGAGGAACTGCTTGTGTCTTGCCCTGTTGCATGTGTTCAGATCCTTATCCTCTCTCTACAGCTTACGTGGGGAACCAAAGGTCAGGGCTGTTGGAAGGGATAGGTTTTGTGTTGGATTTTGCTTGGAAGCCAGAATTCTAATACCATAATTAAGGATACATTATGTTGATTTAGCAAATGCTCAGCTACTTCTTCTTTGCCCGGTTCAGATTTTGAGGTGGAGATAACTTCATCTGAAAATGCTCCTTGATGGTCTCTCTGAGACAGTTGACTTGTGAGGTGATCTTCTGTTAGAACTGTGCTAAGGAATCATAGAATCATAGAATGGCATAGGCTGGAAGGGACCTCAGAGATCATCTAATCCAACCTCCATGTCATGGGCAGGGACACCTCTCAACTAGATCAGGCTACTCAAGGCTCCGTCCAACCTGGCCTTGAACATCTCCAGGGAGGGGGCATCCACAACCTCTCTGGGAAATCTATTCCAAAGTCTCACCACCCTCGTACTGAAGAATTTCTTCCTAAGATCTAATCTAAATCTGTTCTCCTTCAACTTAAACCCATTTCCCCTTGTCCTATCAGTGGACACTCTTGTAAAAAGTCCCTCCCCAGCCTTCCTGTGGGTTCCCTTCAGGTATTGGAAGGCAGCTATTAGAGGTCCCCCTGAAGTCTTCTCTTTTCAAGGCTGAACAATCCCAGCTCCCGCAACCTGTTCTTGTAGCAGAGGTGCTCCAGCCCCTGGATCATCTTTGTGGCCCTCCTCTGAACACGCTCCAACAAATCTATGTCTCTCTTGTGGTGGGGACACCAGAACTGGACACAGTATTCGAGGTGGGGTCTCACAAGAGCAAAGGGGAAGAATCACCTCTCTTGACCTACTGACCACGCTTCTCTTAATGCATGCCAGGATGCGGTTGGCCTTCTGGGCTGCATGAGTGCACTGCCGGCTCATGTTGAGCTTCTCGTCTATAAACACCCCCAAATCCTTCTCTTCAGGGCTACTCTCAACCCACTCTGTGCCCAGTTTGTATTTGTGCCTAGGATTGGCCCAACCCAGGTGAAGGACCTTGCATTTTGACTTGTTGAAGCTCATGCAGTTAGCACTGGCCCATTTCTCAAGCCTATCAAGGTCCCTCTGGATGGCATCTCTTCCCTCAAGTGAGTCTACGGCACCACGCAACTTGGTGTCATCGGCAAACTTACTGAGGGTGCACTCAATGCCGTCATTCGTGTCGCTGACAAAGATGTTGAACAGCACTGGACCCAGAACAGACCCCTGAGGGACACCGCTTGACACTGGTCTCCATGTAGACTTTGCACCATTGACCACAACTCTTTGAGTGTGACCATCCAGCCAGTTCTTTATCCGCCGAGTGGTCCATCTGTCAAATCTGTGTCTCTCCATTTTAGAGACAAGGTTGTCATGTGGGACAGTGTCAAATGCCTTGCACAAGTCCAGGAAAATTACATCCGTTGCTTTACCCACGTCAACCAGCGCTGAAAATGCTCCTTGATGGTCTGTCTGAGACAGTTGGCTTGTGAGGTGATCTTCTGTTAGAACCATGCTAAGGAAAGTAATTGATTATCTGTGTAGCTTGAACCAAATGATCTGCACTTACATTTTTCTTTGAAAGTAAGAGCTGTTTTCTCTGAGAGTCATGTTAAAGCACTAGAGATTTCCATCTGGTCACAATGTAACTTGTGTGTCTGGTGTTATAGCAGAAATCCTGAGGGACATAGGATTTTACTCATAGATGTTTAAAATGTTGGGCCTGGCAGCTCTTTGGTTTAGGCAGTGCTTATACTCATGAACCCCAAGTCCCCAGGGGAGTTAGGCTGGCCAAACCCTCAGGATTTTAGTGTTGATATTGGACAGATCAGACAACCACTACTTTTTGCATTACTCATTCACAATGTACTGTCAGTCAAAGCCCATTTCTTGGTCACATCTGCAAAGTCAGCACGGATGCTACTGCTCTGTTGATTCAGGATTTACATTGTGCACCGCAAAGACCAAGTTGTTTGAGCTCAGAATCTGTTTTGCCAGAGGCAAATACCTCTTTCCATGCTTCAAGAAAGTCTTACTATTCCGTTCAAAACCATAGCGTTATAATAAAAAGTTACATTCTAGGTATACATTCTAGAGTACCAAGGACCTAGTTAAAATACAACCTATAAAAATAAAGGCATTTTGTTTTCCCTTTGTCTGAAGTGACAAGATCTTGAAGCAACCAAATGTTCTCTGGTCGAGTGGATTAAGGTACCTAATACAAAGACATAAAAAAAGTATGAGACAAATCTGAAGAATTTTGCTCATGATGTTGCAGAAAGAAAAGCTTGTACTTGTATTTTAGAAGCCTTCAGGGTTGTAACAATCTTCTATCAACATCTGAAGTTTTATAAAGGTGGATTTTCTATCTTCTGTGGAGACCTCCTTCAGCAAGGAGCTCTGCAGTCAGTGATCTATAAACACTCCCCTTCCCCCCCCCATGTTTTCAGGCATTTAGTCTTAAGGGCTAGAATTTTAGACTTTTTGTTTCCCCTTACTTAATGTTCACTGCTCATTATTTTCGATGACTCAGAGAGATGTGGGAGATGTTTGACTGTAGAATTGAAAATTTCTTTCCTGATAACTTTTTTTTTTAATGTAACAGCAGTATGTTCTTCAATTTTACTCCCTATAGTTTAGTAGCCAAGAAGAATGTCAACTTTGTCCATTCCTTTTTGTAGACTGCTTAACCAGGTGCACATAGCGTACCTAATTGGTAGTAGAATACTTATACTTCAAGACTATAGTCTTGAAAGGTTGATGCAGCATTGAATGGTTCTTCCAAGGCACAGCTGAAGAGGAGGATACGTTGTTGTGCTGAGCTGTCTCTGGAATTGTAAAGAACTAGAAAGAATCTGATGCACCATACAATAATGAGAGATGGAGCCACAGGAAAAAATACAAGAAATTTTCAGTGCTTTGATGGGTACTTTTAACTAATAGCTTGCATACACTAGTATCTTCTGGATTATTATTTCCTTCAGAGCAGTGTACTTACAATTAGTGTACATCTCAATTAGTTGCACTGTAAGGATGATGGCTTGATTTGGCACATCCCATCTGCACTGACTGTTTTTTGTGTTAGTAATTTTCTTTATTCTGTTGTTAAAGAATCAGATGTATGTTTAAAAAAAAAAACAGTTTAAACCACAGTTATTACCTACAGCCTCTTATTTGTACGATATTCTATAATTGCCTTGTTTTGACATTGCTAGAAAATTTAATTTATTAGCAAAGCTTGTAGCATTGCAAGTTAAAATTCCTCAATAACCTTTTGGTTTTGGAAAATGCTGTCCACTGCAGCTTCCACTTACATGTTTGTGCTTTTAGTGATTTTAAAATCACACATGAAATTCACACACAAAATTTTACCCTAATAGACAACAGCACAAGTCACTTAATTGAAATTGCTGAATACATTATAATACTTTTATATTCCATATGCCAGAGCAAGTGCAGCACATATGTTGCATACTGAGTTTCCTAACTGAAGTACAGAAGTCTGCATGTGTTAGACTATATGCCCTAGCAGAGTGGGCACTTGAAAGACTTGAGTTCTGGTCTTGGTGGTATTGTGATGTTTGGGAGATCATAAAAACAAATGCAGCACTTCAGATTAAAGGTCTGTCTAGATATTATCTCGTCCCTCCAGTGTTTAATACAGACAGTTACTTCATCTTCTCATACTGTTCTCTTCTGTAAAATTAGCACAATTACAGAGGTATATGGTTTATGATTTAGGTAGGCATCAGCTGAATAGACAATAGATCTGAGGTAGTTTAAATACATTATATTCTCAAAATAGCCTATATAAGTATTCATCTTTTAATGCATTTAATGTGTTGGAATGTCTTTCCTAATTTGCTTGAGGGAGGATCAGATTACTGAAGAATATAGCCCTCATTATGGCAACCTTGAAATTACAACTGCATAGCAAATGCAAAAAAACCAACAACCCACTGTATGTGAAAAGAAAAAATAAAATATAATATTGATTTTATACAGATGCTACACAAATTTCATATGTAAGCTCCTATAATTGCATAATTATTTTCAGCGCTGATTGTTGCTTACTTTATAGTTGTATTTTTAAGAAACTCGTCAGTTCATAGGTCATCTTGTACCTATTAGTGTTCTGAAAAATTAATGAGTTAAGTGGCTTATTGTATTAATACGAATGAAAGTAGTAATAGAAATAAGTTAATCCTTGAAGATGGGTATTGTTTTAGTGGATAGTGTTGTCTAGCTTAAAATTTCTCCTCATCTTTGGATATCTCGCATTCTGAGGATGTTTAACTGAGCAACATAATTCCAAGTCAACATTTTTGCATGGGTCTATATGAATAGAAAATTACATATTTTTTTCTGACTGATTCAGGGATTTGATAAGCACAGATTAAAGGCTAGTGTTTTGAAAAAGATGCAGACCTCACATGAAACCATAGAGTTGTGCAGGAAAGATATTCAGGTAAAAATGTCTTGAAATATAGCCTATTATGCAACCTGAATTTGTCTGAAGCCCCAGTTTTTAGCTGTTGTTGTATTCATTTAATTTTCAATATTTAACTCTTAACTGTGATATCTCTCTGTAAAAATTACTTTGTTCCTAATGTTTAAAATCTGTTTCCAGGCTGCAAGCTGCTATATAAACAAGACTTTGCAAGACGGTTAGGACTGAGATGTGTTACTTGTAATTACTGCTCACAGCTGTGCAAAAAGGGAGCAACTAAGGAACTTGATGGTGTAGTGAGAGATTTCTGCAGTGAAGAGTGCTGTAAAAAATTTCAGGACTGGTACTACAAGGCAAGTAACTCAGAATTTTTGACGAGAGCTCCACAGTTTAAAAAACCAAAAATGCACATGTGAGGATATCTCAAGGACTGTGCAGCAAATACAGCTTCAGGAAAGCATTTGCTACACAATAAGCAAATGTATTAATTGCATCATTTGAGTTTTCTTAAATCTTAGAGCAGCATTTCTACCATCTGATTTTATTAATTCATTTGGCAAAGAAGTCTTGAGTTACAGAAAAACAAGCAACTACTATGTGTATTTGTTACTTTACAATTCCAATTTTTTCTCCTCAATTGATACCATATTTTTCTTGTCAAAACTTCTTAAATGTGTATCCAGAATGTTGAAAACACTGTTAATAGCAGCTGGATGATATCTTGAGTTGACTGACAATAAACTAGGTTACTAGTTTTTCTTGTTCCTGTTTTTGCCTCCTTTTTTTGCCTTTTCCCTTCTCCCACAGTTTGAACTGCAGAGGCTTTGATTGTTCAGTATTTCTCAGTGGAAAGGATGCCAAAGGGAAAAGCAAGACCAAATGGATTTCTAATAAAAATTTAAATCAAACAGATGGCATCTATTTATAAATCTCTGGAAGCTTAACTACCTTGTGAAGCACAACCAGCAAAAAAGTTCACGTTAAGAGATTTTTTTGTTTCCATTTTTTGAAAGAAGTAAAGGTGAAATTGGACTGGGTTTAACCTGCTCCAAGGATGAAATATTTGGTCTCTGGTGTGAACATCCTGGAAAGCTACACTGATAATATCAAAACGAACTACACTTGTGGATGCAATTGCAAAAAAGACAGTACAAAATTCATCACCTTACCAAAACTGTGTACACAGCCCGGAAGGCAATAAAAAGCTTGAAGTGTTAGAGGACTAGATACAAGTCTTGTAACTCAAGATGATCTACCTACCATAAAAGAACTGAATCTGAAGACTTATCTGATATTTTGAAGTGGCTGGTTCCAGAAACGTTACAGCCAAACGTTGTGAAGTTTTTATTTTGAATAATGTATGTAGGGTCCCGTTAGACATTCCTGAAAGAAAACTATTGAAGATCAGAATGTGTTTCTTCTGTCTCATGTGAAAATAGGGTGACAAAGCTTGACTACAAAGTACTTAACCTTGCTAAAATGTTAACTTCATACAATAATATTTAATCTATACGCCTTAAAACTTGGGATATTTGGTGAAATTTATCCCTGCGTAAAAAGTGCCTTCTGATATAGAACTGGAATAAAGCTTTGGTGTGCTTTAGAAGTGTCTTGGTGATTCAGCAAAGAACGTAGTCTGGGGTTGTGCATACCAAACTAGTTTCATGTACATAAATTTCTATGGAAGCTTGTACTCTGATTCAGGTTTGAGAACCGCTTGAAAACTCTTAACTTCAGGTTATCCTTCTGATCCGTGGGATAAGGCAATAACTTAATTGGCCCATTTAGTCTGCTTTAGAAATGCTTTTGGTACTGTGGTACTGGAAAGTTAGACATGATGCCATGACAAGGGATTTTAATCTAAACAGGCTTGCTGGTAACTAGTGACTTTTGGTACTATCGTTGACACTGAAATCTTAGATAATTTTACTTTTTGGAATCTTAGCTTGATAGTGGAACTAGTGTTACATGATATTGAAATGTTGATTGACATTTTTTTTCAAATACTTCTTAAAACTTTTTTCTAATTCAGTTCTGGTTATAAAAGTTTGGGATTTATTACATGGGGAAGACATGTAATAGGTTTTGGGAAATTGTGGGGGATTTTTTTTGCTAAAATTGTCTTTTTTTCCTTTACATCCTTGCTGGTAACTTCTCCCTCTTTTATAAAAGTAGCTCCAGATAGCTTAGATTTGGTAGTGCATTGTTAGCTGATGTTCTTACCTAGCCATAAATAGATAATGATCAAAACGTAGGAAGACAGAATAGATATGGACCCCTCCCCGGATTTGTACTTCGTTTACTGTTTTGTCTGTTAGCTTCTTAAAAGAACAGTTACATATGTATGAGCTTTGTCTCATTTATGCAATGTCCAGGATTACTTTGGAGTTTCAATTAATGTATACATGAAGAGAAATAAGTAGCAATAACCTAATAATGTTTTAACACCAGCATTGTGTTCATTAAACAAGTGTTTTTCTTCATCTTCTTTGTCTACTTTTTTTTTATGGACACATCTTTCTCATGTAGAATTATCTGGAAAACATCTTAACTTTTAAAAATAATTATTATGGAAGAGCTTCCCTCAGTGCCAAAATTCTCTTCTCAAAAAGCCAGAAGAACGTAGCAGTGGTAGAAGCATAACAGACTTCTCTAGAAGTATTAGAAGCTCATCAGACTATCTAGAAGCATTCTTCAAAGCTAATATGAAGGATTGAAATGTAAAAGAATAGTTCAGTCCTAATCATCGGTTGGGTGACAGCTACAGTTACCAGTTGGTGCCAAGGTCTGAGGAAATTTCTAGTGTATGGTGTTCTTGCACCTCTAAGACAAGAGGTAAAATTTTTGGTGTCTTTAGGTTAGGTCCCTAAGTTATTAGAGCTCCTCCTGTAAACTTCAATTGCATGCCATGGATTGGATGTTAATCTGAAAAATGCCTGGGAAATTTCAGTGTAAATATTTTAGTAGCCTGATGTTTGATGACAGTTTCAGTCATTTAATGTTACTTACACTAGAGCCTTGAAAGTACCTTGAAAAAGTGTATAGAGTTCTGAGAACAGCACAGAAATCTGTTTCTGTAAATACACATTGTGAAGCATTGCTGAAAATTCTACAGCTGGAATGTGCTTACAGGTCATTCAGGACTACAGTGGAATAGTGGCTGGTCTCAGCATGTACAGTGATGACCATGTATTCAGTGCAGGTCAGGTGTCTTCAGCAAAGACTGAGTAGGAGGTGGGGAACTACAGTCTGAGGCATTGAAGAATTATTGTAGCTGGTGAGCTCAGGTAGCAATGATTGTTCAACAGTGGTAAAACTGGAAACAATGAAGCCAGCATTAATCTGAGTGGTAAAGGCAGCAAGACAACCTTGTGGAATTTCTCCTGTCTCAATTTAGCTGTTATATCATTAGGCATCTCAATTTCAAGTAGGTACTGTTTCAGAACAGTTGATCTCCTTTCTCTTATATTCACTCACTCTCTGGAAACATCTCTTGCTTCCTGTTTATTGCAGATTGAACTCAGAATAGACAGCTAAAATTAGGTCAAATTAATACCAGTCCAAACCATTGGACAACATTTAGGAACAGGTCATTGGAGGATTAAAAATGTAAATAGAAGCACTGCACTTGAAACCTTTGGTTTTAAACCAAGTTTGGGGCAAACATTAGTGATTAGTATCACTATGCCCATTTGAACATGTTGAAGTTGGGCCTGGGAGAGGAATCAGACCGAAAAGCAGTCATGAGCCGCAAAGGAGTTATGTGCAATTGGAGCACAGATGGTATAGATGGTTTGGAAACAGAGAGATAGAGCAGACTCGAAAGCAGGTATTTTGGTGATTCAATTAACATATAGTGCTAGTATCTCAAATGAAAATAGATGTAAAGAGGAAGGAAGGAAAAGGTGGAAAATCATTAATTTGCTTTTTTTGCTTTCAGTTAATTTCACAGTCAGGGAACTGGGGAGAGAAAAGCAGGTGGTAGGAAACTTCCGTGCATGGAAGTATTGACTGCAAACATAATTATGGAAATGGTAGAATTACGGTGTAGCAAATGTAGGGATGAGAAGTGAGGCATCCTTATAAAGGAATCTTGGGCTTGCTAAGGAATAGTAATTTCCACGTGGAAGCAAACCAAAGTGTTTTCACCAAAATTGGAATGAAATTTCTATGATTCTATGATTCTAAATATCTTAGCGGCAGGCCAAGGAGAGACAATAATACGCTTATTCAAGGAGCAGAATCAGGAGAGGGAGAAAACACTTGCAGGAAGGCTGTAGCTGGTGCATATGACCAAGACTTGTCACCTTTTTCTTTGAAGGAGAGAGAAAATTGAGCAGAAAGTGGTGCTTTGATAGTTAAGAAATGTGGAGCCGATCAGAATAGGTGGGCTTTCTGTTCATGGGTCAGCTGTCAATCAGTGTTAGGTGGGCTTGAGATTTAAAATTAGAGTGAGTTAAACATAATTTTTTTTTCTGCTCGTATTTCAGCCTTTTGGTGGCTTTGGAAGATGCATTTGCATTAAAGATGTGAATTCAGTTTCCCTGAACCAATAAGTCTAGGCTACTCTGGCAACACACCACGCTTCATCTCCTTCCCCACTCCCTTCCAAGAATACAACTTACTCTTTTGTCCCACTGAGAACATCTCTGCTGCAGAACGAACTGTGGATCCGCATCAGCAGAAAGTCAAAGTGACAAATAAAACAAGAATGGAGGGAGGACGGGGGGAATGCAGCTCTGCAGGGTCCCTAACCCTGTGTACCTTGCAGGTCCATAAGCGCTGCTGCTGACACCTGCACAGAGGAGGGGGGAAAAGAAGTAGCTGCCCTTCCAGGGGCACCTGGCACTTAGTGTGAGGTGATCCTGAAGGCACAGATTTAATTGCTGCCAATTTAAAGCTGGTTATACTGTTAGAATCAAGTCTCTCGATATATCATCTTAAATATTTGAAAATCATAACCGAGAGCTGAATTTCCTACATTGCCAGAGGATGGTGCTGGACTGTTCAAGTACAGAGAAGGAACTCAAAATTTAATAACTTTTAAAATTTGAACTAATTGGCCTGTTCATACTTTCTTTGGAGTGGCAAGAACTGCAGTTGGACCTTTTTTCAGCCATCAGAGCCTTGTGCATAACTGCAATGTTGTGTATGATATTACATATTGATGTTTTATGTTGCATATTATCATAACTTCCCTCTTCCTCTCCTGGCTATCTTGTTAGGTTGACTTATTTTGGATTCCTGAGCATCCATAAAGCTTTTGGATTTTTTTTAGGGACTTTAGGATGGAGGCTGTAAGCAATATCAAGGAGAGCAGTAGCGCAAACAATTCTTTGATTACTTGAAGATCTGAAACTGGGGCTATTGCTGTTCAGATAATAATTTATAGCATGGCTGGTTAAACTTAGTGGAATCTATTTTGGAATAAAACAATGTCTGTCTTAGTGTTGCTTCATGAAATTATCTTGTAGGCTGGTGAAAGATATAACTGAAATGTTTAGCTAGGGATACAGAAGAACAGTTTTAAGTTTCACCTTACATGCTAATTAGATTTTGTGGACACCTCTTAGGTTTGAGAGCTATTGTTGTTTATGAATCATAGAGAAACTTCAATGAACTAAATAATTGGAATCTAAAATTGTTGTCAAACTATTAAAATAATAAAAATATTGATGTTATTTACACTGAAGGGCTCTGATGTCATACCTAGGGAACTCATTGTCTTTGTGATTTAAAACAAAAAAAAACCACCAAGCTTCAAGGAGGAAGAAAACAACTCTACTTGTCCTCAGTTCAAGAGAATCATTAGGGAGTCTGTTATTTTCTGCTCTTGTTTTCCAGAATGTTTCAGTGGAATTAATTAAAATTGATGCATAAAACTCATATTTTGCTGTCTAGAAATTACCAGTTTTTAAGGAGTTAGTAAAGACTTAGTGAAACAAAGTGTATTAATTCTGGATATTAACTGCCAGCAAACAGCTGAAAATAAAGTGACGGGTGTGCCTGTATGCACAGGTTAGAAGGTAGTGAAACTATCTTAGAGCCTACATGAGCAAGACTTAACTGTGTAGTGGTAATGGTTCTTCAGTACTCTTAAAAATGTCACCTTTTAAAATGTAGAACTGATTTTTTTTCCCAAGGCTTGTTTAAAAATGTCAAAATCTTCCTTTGCATTAAGGCTGCACGATGTGACTGTTGTAAGTCTCAAGGAACTCTCAAAGAGAAAGTGCAGTGGCGTGGCGAAATGAAACACTTTTGTGATCAGCACTGTTTGCTCCGTTTCTACTGTCAACAAAATGAACCAAATCTGGCAACTCAAAAAGGACCTGAGAACTTACACTATGGTATGTGCTGCTTTATGGCTTCTAAATGGCAAACAAGATGCTTCATTTAAATCAAAAATTTAAAGCTGCATGAATTATTTATTTGTTGTAATAAACTGTGTTAGAGATTACCATTTTTTATTTTATCATCAGAGACATCATTGAGGTGCTTGCTGTTTTTATCTTAGCTGTTTATTTTATTGCTTTTTTGAGAGCTGAAACATCAGGTAATCAAACAGTTTTGTAATCACTTCTTAAAAAACAAATCCTTTTAGGTTAAGCATAATTTTAGTATTGTATCATTATGGGGGCAGAAAACGTTTTCCTCTTTCATTGTGCTCTGATTTGTCTTTACTTGTTCTGTGGAAACATTTCTTTTCAAAATGTGTTTTGGTCACAGAGAGCAGATAAATGGACTAGGAATGAAAAAAAAATGAAATTAAAAGGAAATAAATGGAAACTATATGAGAATAGAATGAAAGTATCTAGATAAGAGGAATACATTGCTTTTGGGGTTTTTTTTCCTGTATTGGCAATAGGTACCATATAAATTTGTTGATGGGGGCTGAATGCATGTTTACATGGTTTAAATGGCATGTCAGGCAAAGTTAAAATCAATCAGCTTTTTAATTAATGTAATTATATCAACACAAGTTCTTTGTATGGCCACTTTCATATTTGAACATTTAGGTATTTACTTTTCTGAAAGAGGCTATATTCACATCTGATGGACCATTAATTTAGTGTTTGCCTTTGCGTAGAGTTCAGTGCTGGAGTAGTGAGGCACCTATGAATGAGAAGTCTTGCATGCAGTTCTCACCTGCAATACAATACTAATCAGTGCTGTTAATTTAACATTACCCTGATGATAGATGTTGTCTGAGTTGCTTACTGAAATTTGCTTTGATTCTGAAACAGGGAACAAAAAAAATCTAAAAATGTTTTCTCGTGTTTTTAGATCAGGGCTGTCAAACCCCTCGAACAAAAGTAACAGTAAGTACATATATTTAATACATATATAACATAATTAGATGTGTTTAGAAGGTGAGATCCTCGTGGCTTAAAGGAGTGCTATCAAAAAACAAAAAAATTAATATCTTTGATTCTAAGCTAAATTCGTGAAGTTTTTGTAGACTTTTTCACATCAGTAGTTGAAATTAGATTTTAAATGTTCATATTTTGTCTTTTCAAAGTCTTGTGGGAAACCAAATCATCAGCCATGTATTTTACATCTATAGTGCATGCAAATGTTGCTTAACAGTTAATCCACAAAGCATGTGTATCTTACTCACTTGTTTAGACTGAGTAGGTGTATATATTTGTTAAATATAGAAAGGGAAGATGGTTTCACTGATCAGTTAGAATATTAAGGTTGTATCTCAGCATTGAAAGGCTGAAAATAAAGTTTCAGATCTCGAATTATAATTCCTAAGAGTAGAATAATTGGTGCTCAAGGTCTGATTGACATTGCTACAGGTGATAGAAGAGAGAAGCGTAACCTTTTGCAGGATCACTGTCTGGTAGGGTGGGGATCATCAGTGGAGCAGCAGCTTTCATTCCGAGTTTCACGTTTTTTCAGCTTGTCAAAAGTATTATTAATTTTTTCATTTAGCCTAGCGTATTTTGTTTGAAACTTTTGTTTTGTTTTGATTTGTTTGTCTCAAGGAATATCTCAGAAGTACCTATTTTTCCACAAAGAGATTGATTCACCTTTTTAATGCAAATAGGCTTCTGTAAGGTAGATCTTAAATTTAAGTGAAAGTATTTTTATGGCATTTTAAAATAGGTTATCGAAAAACACAGAAAATTAGATTGTTTAGGTAACTAGAGGCATCAGGCAAGCTAAACTGTCAGGTTAAAACATCTAATATTTTATGCTTAATAGCTTCCAATGCAGCTGATGTTAATTCAGTCCATACATTTTTAAGAATCATATAAAAGCTATTTGTGATACAATATTTTTTTTATAGTTTAGAAAGTGTATGTCTGTTAAATAAAGTCTACTGCTGTTTTTATGACTTGACTTTCTTTCTATATTTAAAAGGATATGTGAGGCTAGTCTTACTACATACGACCTAAAAAAGTGGCAGAGTGCTTCTTAAACCAGGCTCTAAAACTAGACAAGGGGACAAAAGCCGTGTCTGGAACTAGAAGTTTTTCACCTGTTGACTGTAAGGATGCAGTTTGGGCACTGTGTGATGTTCCCAAGTGTTTGTTGTCACTATTGTAGAGCCAGCAGAGGGAGCTCGAAGTTCATACTTTAAGTATTAAAAAATTGTCTACAGATAAAATTATTTAGAAATACATTTTTTTAAAAAATGTGATCTTTGGATTATAGCATAGTTTAAGGAGGTTAGACCTTGAGCCAAAAGTTTGTTATGCTACTTATAGCGAATTCTTTTTACAGCCAAAATTATTTTCTAGGTTATACAATAGCTTAAGTTGCACTTTCATTTAAATGAGAACGTAAAATAGAGTATCTTAAGAGTATCTTAAATTAAAAAAAAAAAAAAAAAGAAAAGGAAAGTGAGTCAGAAGTTGTTAATCAAAGTGCTAGCCCTGATTGAACAAAATATAACTGTTACATCCCTGGCAGTGGCAGCGCATTACTAGAAACGTAGAATAGCTTGCAGTTAAAGAGTAGTAGTTGATGCTGTTGTGACCTTCCTCTTCAGTATCTCATGTATGAAAAGTATCACCTGATACATTAGAGCAAGAACTTTGTGTTGAAACCAGTGGGGTGTAACAGCACGTTCCCTTTTATGTGCTTGTCTGTAGGGCTCAGCACCACCACCTTCTCCAACACCTAACAGAGAAATGAAGAACAAGGCAGTTCTTTGCAAGCCTTTGACAATGACGAAAGCCACGTACTGTAAACCTCATATGCAGACAAAATCTTGTCAGACAGGTAACTCCTGAACTGTACTGGAACTACTCATTTCTTCATTGCAGTTTTTTTTTAGCTGTTAGTGTCTTGGAACATATTGTAAATATTCTGATTTTTTTTCCCTAAACTGCAGATGTAAAATATATTTAAGTACCTGGCAGTGTTTGCCTTTTTCTTTTTTTCTCTTAATAGAAGATGATTGGAAAAAAGAGTATGTCCCAGTGCCTATTCCTGTACCTGTCTATGTTCCGGTGCCTATGAACATGTATAGTCAAAATGTTCCTGTTCCTACGACAGTTCCTGTTCCTGTAAGTGAGACTTCAGCTTCATTTTTAAATTGACATCCATTCACATGTATGTGTGGGACCACTTTATTGTTGGTTGTTCTCATTCTGGTCTGTCTAAAGGATTGCAGGATGCTGCAGCACTTATTTATTGAAAAAGCATTAGAAAACTCAGTGGCACTTGATTTCCTTGTTGTTTATGTCCTATCTGCCTGCTTTAAGTGTGAAAATCTTGTGTTGCTGAACTTTTTAGGAACAGTTCTGAGGGATACTTTTTGGTTTGCTGAATAAGCATTAAACAGCAAGATTTATTCTGGTAATAGGGAAATTGAAAGATTGTGTTGGGAAGGGATGGCAGAGTGGGATAAACAGAAGGAAGAAAAGCAAATAAAAACCCACAAACCTTGTGCCAGCAACAGAAAATAACTCTTTAAGTTAAATTTGTTATCACTTATGTACCAAACCTCATTCAAATGGTGGGACAAAACCCTGAATTCTTAAAATTGTGTTTCACAAGCAAACCACTGAAACAGGATGCTGATGTGTATGAAGTAGTATGAAGTTATAGTCAGACAGGTTTGAAGCTCCAAAATCCCTTTTGTTCTTACTCTTGTCATATTTTTTTTTCTATATCCTTTCCTGCTTTCCCTTCTGTTCATCATTTATGTTGAATTTTTTAACCTGTCAATGTTTTTTTTTAATTAGCCTGCACTGAAGTTACATTTTTCTAATCTGTATTAACTTTGTCTTTTAGAAGAGGGGTGTAGAGTTTTTTTCTGTGTTGACTGCTGCTGATGCTTTGTTACAGCATATCTTTTTTCTTTTCTAATTATATCTTCCTCCCTGCCTGCATAGGTGCCAGTTCCAGTTTTCTTGCCCACTCCTGTGGATAGCAGTGAGAAAATCTTTGCTGCAATAGAAGAGCTGAGGGGAAAAGTGCCCTCAAATCCTCTGGAAACTGAGCTACTGAACTTGTCAGGGATGGTACCTGAAAGTGATGGAAAAGCTGAAGCTTGTGATGTGGCCAGTGAGTTTCTTACCTAGGTTTTGACTCTTTGGAGTGTTGGGATGTATATGTGGGGGTGTGTGAATCAAGAGAAGGGTTGGGGTTTTTTTATTTTTTATTTTAGGGAAACATTCTTTGAATACAACAGTGCTACTTTTGAGTTATTAAATATTAAGTTGAAACCTTAATTATTTAAATATTTTTAAAGGTCATTTTAGCACATTTGAAAAACAGCAAACTTTCTGAAATCTGTCATGTGGCTTCAGTGTGCTGTACCAGACCTTTGCCTTTAAAAACATGGGCTTGTGCGAACTCCTTGGCTGATGGCAAGCAGTCATCTAAGATTGTATAACTCAAAACAAGCCAAAACCAATGTATTCTTCCTCCCAGAAAGCCTCAAGTGAAAAGTTTAGGGAAAGTAATCTCCATAGCTGTGTCTTGCAGGTGGGAACACAACTTTCTCTGAACAAGGTGGGATATGACAGGGATCTGGTCTCTTTGTAGTAACACGTTACTAGGCACGTTTTATATTGGGTATGAGGAAGCAGGGACTGTTAAAACTAAGAGAAACATAACATTTCACAAGTGGAACTGAGGTCAACAAAACCAAGTGACCTAATGATGCTTTCATTCTTGGTTGATCCTGACCTGCAAGTATCATCTCTTTGAGGATAGGAATTGAAGATAATTTTTCCATAACTATTTCCATAATTTTTTTTTTTTCAAGCTCTTTGAACAGATATCTCAAAGGATATTGATAAATGACATGAACTTGTGCTTTGGGTATGGTATGTAGGAGGCCAGTGGTGCTGCAGTCCCAAAAGGCTTAGTGTTTTCCAAACTGCTGCTATTCCCCTACTAAAGCTGGACATTTCTGGTAATGCTGCAAGGCTGTCATTTGCAGTTCCTTGCTCTCTCTTGCTAAGAACAACTAGGTGAATGAGTAGATATATGGGATCAGAGCTTGCTTTTTTTGCAGAGAACTGAATTTGGAGAAATCTCTCTTTGCCAGAAGTTGGAAAGAGGTCAAGCTTTTGTTTCTCTCAGCTTGCCTTCCTTGTTTGCTTTTGTAGGATCTCTTTCATGGGTTTGAAAGTCTGTTCTGTTCCAGGCAGAATCATTACTTTAAACTCAAAGAGGGTAGATTTAGATTAGATATAAGGAAGAAATTTTTTACATGGAGGGTGGTGAGGCATTGGAACAGGTTGCCCAGAGATGTTGTGGATGCCCCATCCCTGGAAGTGTTCAAGGCCAGGTTGGATGAGGCTTTGAGCAATCTGGTGTAGTAGAGGGTGTCTCTGCCTATGGCAGGGGGGTCGGAACTAGATGATCTTTGAGGACCCTTCCAACCCTAACCGTTCTATGATTCTGTGGACAGAACTAGATGGTAAGGTTTGTCAAGTTTGTTTGAGTTCTGTGATTGGTTGATATGATCTAGATTCCCCAGTGTTTGATTTGCTATACACATGTTTTGCTGACTCAACCTAAGGAAAGACAAATGGACTATTAAGTATTTTTTCTGTTTGAAGGAAATCAGATTGGAGAAGTAAATCTAAGATCCCAAGAGCAACAAAACCTAGGATGTTGATAAGCAGAACAAGCAGTTTTAGAACAACTCAGCTTCTAGTGTTCAAAACCTGCGTTGTTTTGACTAATCTATGTGTTGGTTAAAATAACGAGAGGTTTTTTTGGTTTTATTTGTTTGTTTTAACAGGTGCCGTAGTTGAGTCAAATCTACTAAACTCAGAAAGAGAGGTACAGACAAGCTTGCCTGATGTTCCATATGAACCAGACCTTGATATTGAAGTAGACTTTCCAAGAGGTATTTTTTTTCTGTTACTTTAATAAATATTGTGAAATAGATATTGTGGGTAGCTATTGTACTTTGTTTCCTCATCCTTTCAGAGGAGCTTTATTTGATTGCAAGATCCACTTGACAGACTTCTAGGTAAAACTTTGCCATGTCTTTGCAAACTGAGGACTTCTGAAGTAGTTCCTCCATCTTTCTAAATATGGTATCTGAATGCAAAAAAGGCAAAATTTACCTTTCACAACTTGACTGCATTGCTTGGTTTTGGACATGGATTTAGGAAAGCTATTTTGAAGGCTCAAAGGCTGAGATAGTGTGTGTCATGGAGAACAATAATGAATACATTCTTCAGTCACCAGGTATTTCCATGGGAAATGGTGATTGAGAGACAAAATGACAAAAGGACAAGTTTCCCACTCAAGTTTGTTAGAAAATTTCAAGCTGATATGCTGCACGTCACTTGTCTTACTTTTTAGTAGCTTGTTAATGTCTGTACATGCGTGTGGAAAAGGTAGTGTTATTTGAATTAGCAGGAAACTCACTACTTTGAGACCTTTTATGTGTTAACGCAGAATGCAGGCAACAGTGTTTGTTTCCTTATACCATGTCCTAATTGGTCCAAGATCTACAAAAGCTCCTGGCCGTAGCTAGTATCTCCCTTCTCTTGGACATAAAACTTATACCTCCCGTGGCTATCTTCTGCATCTGGTGTTGAAAGTCTCCTTTGCCTTGTGCCATAGATACAGCCTGGTGTAGTGGAGGGATTTCTCTGCCCATGGCAGGGGGGTTGGAACTAGATGATCCTTAACATCCCTTCCAACCCTAACCATTCTATGATTCTATATCCTCACTAGATGCCCAGACTGGACTTTTCAGTTTGCTGTATGTCTGATTTAAAGATCAAGTCTAGGTGTTAGTCTGACCTTACTCTTAGGAAGTTTATTAGCCAGATGCATACTGGATTTTCACCCCTCTTTATAAGTGAGACTTGATACATGAGAATGATTTTTTTTTTTTTTTTTTTTCTTCCATGTTTTTTCTAAGTGGAATAGTCAATAATAGCAGTTTGTAATAGATACTGATTACACTGCAGTGCTTCTGAGAGAAGATTCTTTGTGGTAGCAGAAGAAGGACTGGTATTTAGTTTGGGGCAGAGTTCTTAAATCTTTGCATGTGTGTACTATTTCATCTGAACCAGTTTGAATGATGTCTTGAGTAGTAATGTGGTGAAATCAGACTAACTATCAGAAGAGCATTCAGTTTTGAATGAAGACATTGTTTGATGGCTAAATACTTTCAATAAAGTAGATAAAGGTGGAACTTGCAACATTAAATCCGTTCACATGTTTTCCCATTCCGCTGTACTGCCTGAGATAGAATCCTTCTATCCTACCCCTGAAATGTTAAAGTGTTTTGACATACTACCTACTGTGTATCTGTTTACCAAAATTACGGTAGTGTCCATTATGAGCTAGACCTCCAGTTCTTGTATAAATAATAGACTAATATCAGTTTCCTCTGAAAGAGTTCACATTCTGCTTTGTAATGTTTTTAACCGAGTATGATTTGCTATATAAAATACAAAACATGAATAGAAATTATGGAAATATATGAACAAAAGTGCATGTAGTAAGTTAATTTGTATTTTTTCCACTCAGCTGCTCATTCTCGCCATAACTTACACTTCATAATGACTGGCTAGACAGGAAAATTTTTTTAAGGGTCCATAGTAAGAAATGCTGCCTTAATGACTTGCCGTAGTGCTTGAAAATGTTGATCATTGTGTCCGTTACAATTTAGTTAGACATAAACATTTTGATAGTTTTGCCTTACTTTCAAAATAAGAATAGGCTTATTTCCTCCTACCAAAGTGTAGTCTTTGGTACTGTTTATATGTCTGCTTTTGTGGACTTTTTGTGTTAATGCACACAGGTATTGTTCATTGGGGTTTTTTTTAAACCGGTATTACTCACAAGATGTTTAGAAAATAAGGTTCTGTTAATGTATTTTCAGCAACTGAGGAGCTTGATACAGAAAATGAGTTTTTGTTACCACCTGTTTTTGGGGAAGAATATGAGGAACAGCCAAGGCCTCGGTCCAAAAAGAAGGTAATTTTTGTTATGCTATTAAAAAAAAAAAAAAAGCACAAAATTTAAGTAGGCAAAAATATGTAAGGTTTGGAGGGGTTTTTTTCAGTTGTCATACTGCTCTAAAACGTATTACTGCCTCTTCATACCTAATATCCTATCTGTATCATATAAATGGATATATTTCAAATACTAAAATTATCTCTAGTCCTATGTCTGTTGAAGTTAACTGTTGGATTTAATAGGAGTGTGATTTCTAAATTCTGATCCCATTTTTGCCTCACATTGGTAGGACTGTTGATGTAATATGCTACTGTGCATATACTTGCTGTACTCTTAGTAGTGCTTTTCTACCTTCTACTTTGAACAAAGCCATCTTGGCTTAATTTGATAGTATAATGGAAGAATGTTGGCATTACCATGGCTTATAATGGGAGCTGTAGAATCTCCTGTATAAAATAGTTTTAAAAAACCCCATTTTTATTTGCTTGTAATTTTCGCAGATTTTATTTTCAGTCAAAAGTCTTAGTTTAGATGTTGCAAATGAATTAGCCATGTTCTTTTATTTAGAAGGAAGGAAGCTAACAGGAAATAGAATTTCTAGTGCCTGGCACAAAGCTGAAATGGTTTTATTCCAATAACTGCAGTAGATATCACAGCTTTAAAAAAAAAACAGCCATCTTCTAATAAAACTTTCTAAGAATAAATGTGACTTTCTAGTTTAAATTTGTATTGAGACCGTCGATATTATCCACCGGACGTTATCCACATATCCACTGCTGGATATGCTTTACTTTGGGACCAATGGTGGGTTTTCCATTGATGGGTTCAGTTGAGCCTGAAAGTTGACCTTCTGACATAGATCTGTAGCAACTTTCTGTGCAATAATGCAAGGAAATCCTATAAACACACTGAATTATTTGATGCATCGTGTGTTTGTTGCTTAGCACGCTGTAACAAATACAGCAACTCCATTATCAAAAATTGTTCTGTCTGTGTTAGGAACCAGTTTGAAGGTGAATTAGGAACGTCTGTCAGTAAATACTGGCCTTAGAAGTATGTTTGACACAGAGACTACCTACCAAATGAGGCGTGTGTTTCTTTACACGGAACGTTCAGTTTGTCATTTGGGCTGCAGCTCGCTTGTTCTGCCCTGCTTCTGTGTCGTTGCTGTTGGTGGCTCTCGGTGGTGTTAACAGCTGTGTTCCAATGGCAGGGGGTGAAGAGGAAAGCGGTCTCAGAGTACCAGTCCCACGACGACAGCTCTGAAAACTCAGAGTGTAGTTTCCCGTTCAAATACACGTATGGTGTGAATGCGTGGAAGCACTGGGTAAAGTCTCGGTATTTAGATGAAGAGCTTCCAGAATTAGAGGAACTGAAATCAAGTAAGTATTTCCAAAACTCTGGCATCCAGATTCTTATTTGGTAGGGAAAATTGCTGTACTTGTCTGATTTTTCAGCTGGAATTTTTTAAAAGAAGTTTTCACGTGTCCTTAATGTTTCCACAATTCTCACTGGGATTATTTTACCACAGAGTTACCGAACCTAGTTCCTAGTTTTTCCTAGTTTTCCCTACTTGGTTCAAAATGCTGGATCTCACATGTCTCGTGCCAGCCAGGACAGCACCTTCCTGGGTCTTCTGAGTTTCCACGACCATTTTCATTTTTTGTTTTCATCCTGTTTTTCTTCATATTCTAACTCTCCTTGGAGTTCACTCGTTTTCTGGCCTTCTAAATTCCAAGGGAGGGGCATCCTGCTCTTTATCCTGGAAGGAGATCTTCATCTGGGGCTGGCATTACCTTTCTGTGGAGCTCTGACACGTGGAGCCTTACTGCTCTTTCTGCAGCGCCCCTCTCTGTGTACATTTGTATTGTGAGGGAAAAGGGAGATTGCTGCTACTCTGCTGTTCTTCAGCTCCCACGTGCGTCTTAGCACCTTTGCCTTATGCTGTTGGATCTATGGAAATTGCCGTTTCCCATGAAGGTCTCCCTCTACATCACTGTCTTTACTTCAGCATCTTGGGCCATTTCGGTGTCATCCTCAGCTGTGCATGACAGTACGTTTGTCAGTGGGAGATGCTGCATTTGGTTAACTTGACTTTACTCTGATAACCTTATTTAATTCAGACCTAACATTAAAACTACTTAGTATATTTAGACTTGTTCATTGGTTAGTGGAGAGGACATCAAGCCAGTTTCCTGCTTTCCAGCCCAAAAATACCCCCATCCCACCCTCACCATGTAATAATTCTGTTGTATAATGTAGCGTTTTTTCTCTATTTTACAGCAAAGTCTGTGAAATTAAAGGAAGATCTATTATCACATACTTCAGCTGAGTTAAACTATGGGTTGACACATTTTGTCAATGAAATTCGAAGGCCAAATGGAGAGAACTATGCACCTGACAGCATCTATTATCTGTGTCTTGGGATTCAGGAGGTTAGTAGAGGCTGTAGAGATGGGAAGCGGAGCTGCTGATTTGACTGTATCCCATTTCAGTGGAACAATGGCGATAACGTGAATTTATTGCCTAGGAGCTATTCTTAATATGATGGCTATGATCTGGAACACAGAGAGGCTGCTGTGTAAATCACATTGTAGAAAGCTGTCTGTATAGAAAATGAGTCTGCAGACCTATCAGGAAAATTCAAATGCAAACTGGTATATAATATTGATTTTAAGCTTCTTGCTGGGTTAAAGCAAGGAACTTGCAATCTAAAATGACATCTTTTTTCCAAATTTTGTGCTTCACTTTGTTTGCTAAAGATGGCTTAATGTAAAAACAGAATGAAACAAGGCACAATTTGTAAATGTTTTACTAATTCACTTACTTAGCATATAGTGGAAACAGGCTATTTGAAGTGTCTTTTTGGGAGAGTCTAATGTACTGAATATTGCAGACTGTGGGCAGTCAGGCTATTTCGTAGAGTGGAGAAAACGCTGCTCTATTGGCTGTCTTACACACATGCACTGTGCCCTCAAATTGTAATTACGTTGTATTTTGAAGATAAAGGGAGTCATTTTAGATGTATCGTGTGCAAAGGCAGTAACATATCACTAGATAATTAGAAAAGCTATTCCTTTCAAGCAGAGAATGTCTTTATTTTTGGTACATAAGGCAAATCATAGATAAACTAAGCTGTGTTCAGAGCTGAGAACACAGAAAATTTCATTCAAGTTAAAAGGCAATAGAAAATGCCTATGATGTGGAAAGCAAGCTGTTCACAGGCTTTGCAATCCTGCTTAAACTGTTTCATGCTTAAGGCAGGGAACTTGAAGCAAATAAGAAATTTTCAAATCAAAATCTTTTGACATAAATAGTACCTCCACTAATTCTTCTGTATTGCGAGTATGCAAAATTAAGGAGTTAGTTGATATCTTTACCTCATGGTTGAAATTTGAGAAGTGAGTATTCATTTTAGTCAATATTGCTACACGGCATGTTTCAAATTCAGCTAGCTTTCTGCTTCTGCCCTTGCATGATATACTGTCTCTCTGTATCTTTCTGTTGAATTGAAAATGCTCATATTAAGGTGATAAACAATACACAGAGCGAGCTATGCGTTTATAAAATGGAACTCAAATAAGTTTTTTCTTTTTTTTTTCACCTTTTGTGCCTTTGACATTGCTTATTTTGTCTACTGTGAAAGCTAGTTATGTGTAAAACTTTTTTTTTTTAGCTCATCAGAACCAATGTTTGTGTGATACAACACAATTATTATGAGCTGTAATACACATACATGATGCTGGAATGTTAAGAGGAATAACTTGTGGTCATTTTAGTGCAATTATTGCTTATACTTAGTGTTTAGTATTTAATTGGGTGATGTTAACAGCCCTGTTTCGTTGGCCTGGTTGTACCACTGCTGTTCATCCTGGTAGGAAGATCTGCCCTATTCTGAGGAGTTTACATTTCACTAAGGCAGACAGCAGGTGAGGGACAGAAACATGTAAGCATGTGAGCTGTCAAGGGTTGCAGCCAACATCGTGGGCTAATGGCAAATTGCGTGTATATGGATATGTGTTACCCTTCTGAAGAAACAGGTGTTAACGATACGCTAAACGCAACGTAGTTGTTGCAATGTGCAGCAAAACTCCATTGCCTTCTAGTATCTTAGTCCTTCTTCCCATCTGACAACCTCGATGTGGGTGCTCCTGAAAGAGAGTAAGTTATCTACTACTGCATGAAAGGTATTGGCTCTGTTTAACTCAGAAGGGGCTCAGAGGAGATTTAAATTGTGCCATTTAAGGATAAAGTTGTGCCAAAGATCATCAATGTTTTGCTAGCTTAGAGTAAGTTTCTCTTCAAAGGAAGAGAATGTGGAAGCCATAGGTTAGAAAAAGAGCACTTTCCCCTTCCACCAAAACTACTGCACTCTCTGTGGCTAAGTATGGGCTCAGGTTGGAGGTTTTCCTCGTGGGTGTGATATGATTTCAGCACAGGAGAAGAGTCTTCAAGTCTTAAGTTGTTTTTTTGACTTTGTAAAATAACTGTTTTTCTTAAAGGAAGCACTGGGAAAATGTGTTTCAGCAAACCGGTCCCTGACTCAAATGGTACATTTTCTCAGTTCAGGTTCATTTGTGGCTGAAATTGTTCTGCTTCCAACCAGAAATGCTTCAATAATGGTTTTGATAACTCTGAAGTACTGATCCTGAAAAATAGCACGCTTAAAAGTAAAGCTTGTTGCACAGTCAGGCAGGCATCTAGTGGAGAGGGTTCATTCAGAAGAAGGTGTTAGCCTGCCTGGCTCCCCTGCTGCTTCATGGCCTTCATTCTTTGTCCCAGTACAGGTTGGAGGGGTTTTTTGTTTTGGTTTGTTTATTTATTTGTTTGGTTGGTTTTTGCACGTGTAATAATGGGATTGTTTGGGCAAAAGTGAGGCTGATGGAGCTTGGCAGATGTTTGTCTGAAGATGCTGTGGCAGTGACTCAGCCTGTTCTCCACCGTGGGACTCAGAGGGTCCATTCCCTCCTGCTCACTGCCCTTTCGGTAGAGCTCATCCCAGGTCGAAACTGCTTGTGCTGATCCTGCCCCTGCTAGAGTTTGTAGAGTAGCAGAACACAGAATTATGATGTGAAAATGAAGGTTTGCAGATGTGCACTGGGTGTTGTATAGCAGGAGACTGCAACACGACATCATTTTTCTGTAGACTCTACAGAGCTAATGGTCCAAGGTGCTTCACAGGTTTCTACTGGGAATGACAGGGCTTACCCAAACACTTATTCTAAACCAGGAAATAGAAATATTTTTGGTGGAGTTCTCACAGGCTTGTGTGGGAGTTGGTTTTGAAACAGTTTTCAGTCTTATTTCAGTTTCACTGCCAGTGTTCAGTTTGAGTGTTTAATGCAAACCAGAGAAAAAGAAAATTCATGGAGGAAAAATATGCCAGGGAACAGAGGGACAAACCCCATGAAGCTTATACTGTGTTGTATTGTCTAGCTTAGAATTACTTTATAAAATCAAAGCTTATCTATGTAGAAACAAGCACATTTTGGGGAATACTGTGCTTCGAAGAATTAGTTAGCAAAACGTCATGTAAAATAGTTATCTAAATGAAGATGTGTTGGGGACTTCTAGGAAGTGTATTTATTCATTTTTCCTTACTATAAAACTAAATGCAAAGATAAGGAAGTCAAGATACATTGAACCACCTGGTATAAATGAGTGCTGTTTAATGTTATTTCAAGTATGTGTACAAAAATAGATGCCATTTCCAGAAGTGAGTACATTTTTTGTCTGTCACTCTTATTGTATTCACTAACAGGCTTGTTCACACAAAGATAACACTGAAGTGGAAAATTTAAGAAGCCAATCCTCCGTTTCTTAGAAATGTCTCCAGAGAAGATAATGTCAAATACTAGTATAGCCCTCGGCCATTAATTCTTGGTAAAGGTTCAAAAGAGTTTCTGTCTGTGAGGTCAAGAGGGTTAAGATAATTAGACTGCAGAATAGGCAGGCACCTTGCACTGTCCTGTCATTTTTCTTGCGCTGCTGCATATCATAACCACAAATATATGGGGTTTTTTTTGTTCCCACTTCTGTGTTGAAGATGGTTTTGTCAGTGTCCAGAGTTCACATTAAAATGGCAGGTTATTGTTAAAGGTCTTTTTTTCTTTGAAGATGTAGGTGGAGGAAAAGATAAATCAGTTGGGGTTTTTTTTTGTGAGTCCTCATTCACTGATACAATGTTGCAGACAGGAAATTTTAGATAAAAATGTTAGCATTGTAATTAATCTATGATTCATATCCAGTTAGAAATTTCCAGCATTTTTTATATTGGAGATTACTTGTAACTGCTAAATACTGGAAAAGTGTCATTGCTTTATTTTTAGATACCTGTTTTTTTCATAAAAGTGCAAGTATTGTACTGAAAAAGAACCCTATAGCACAGGAGTTCTAATCCAGAATTGTAAATATTGTGTCTCTCTCTTTTCTGTAGTATTTATATGGAAGTAATCGAAAAGACAACATATTTATTGATCCAATCTACCAGACGTTTGAACAGGAATTATGTAAAATCCTTAGAAGCTGGCAACCGAGCATACTTCCAGATGGTAATTTTCTTTTTGGTCATGTCTTTTTCATGTCTTAATAGTTCTGTATTCTTAAGCATGTAGATATATCCGAACGTTTTATGCATTGCGGTAGTAATGGATTAAAAATCATAAAGATACCATCTACGAGTTCAATTAAGACTGTACTGGTTCTTTTTGTCTTGTCTCTTGGCAATCCATGCTGCAAGAGTTGATTTTGCCACTGCCTGTTAATCTTAAATTGACTATCCATTTTTAGGAGAGAAAGTTAGAATAAGCAGCCTCTGTTCAACCTGAGCTGAATTTATATTTTTTTGCCCATTTTTTTTCCCAGATGGGAAGCAGGCAGGCAGGCACTGGGCTGTGTATGGTAGGGCTAATGAGCTTTGTATTTTAGTCTTTCGCAGCTGGATTGGGAGAACTCTCTGCCATGGGCCTTCTGCTCAGGAGGATTGTCAGTTTATGGAGAAAACAGGAATTTGCCCCAGCAAATCGATGTTGGTGCTGAACTGCAGATCCCACTGTTCTTCCATCATTCTCACAATCCTCTCTTGAGTGAGGGCTTGTCCTTAACCAGCCCTTTTCCTCTCTCTTCTTGATACTGGCTTTTCTCTGTATAGCCCTGGAGAGCCTCTGTATAGGGCCCTCTCTATTCCCTGGTATGGTCCAGGAGTGTTTTCCAAGTGAGATATCCGTTAATAATAAGAAAGAAGAAGGTACAGCTATTTGGAGGCTTTGCCTGAGCAGAATAAAATGAACTCAAAAATACGCTTTTTATGAAGAGATTAAGATTAGGCCCTTGAACATTTGTTTTTATGTAACAGCATGAGGGAACTGCATGTAAGCAATGCTGTTGTAATTAAATAGAAATGTATTCTGTGTGAAGTTGCCTATACTCATATTTCCCATTGTCTGTCTCTTCCTGAAACAGTGAGTGTCTATGTCTTTTAGGGGTGGTTTTGGGGGTCTGCACATAAAATTAAATATGCTTATTACAGGTTTCTGTCATGAGTTTTTTGTTAAATTTTACAGTAACCAGAAACTTGCTTCTTTTGCACTTGGACAGTTTATTGGCTAATCCATAGTATTATCTCTGCTATTCTTTTTTGGAAGGATCAATATTCTCTCGAGTTGAAGAAGATTACCTTTGGAGGATTAAACAGCTAGGATCCCATTCACCGGTTGCTCTTCTGAATACTCTGTTCTACTTTAACACTAAATATTTTGGCCTGAAAACAGTGGAGCAGCACTTAAGACTTTCTTTTGGCACTGTTTTTAGACAGTGGAAGAAAAATCCTCTAACAATGGAAAGCAAAGCTTGTCTTCGATACCAAGTGTCTTCCCTGTGCAGAGCTGATAGTGAAGGTACTATGGCAGCTCAAAAATAAGTATTGCAGGAGCATCCACGTTGTGCTTCTCTGAGGGACATCTGGGCACCTTGCCAGGAGCCTTTGCATAAAGTGTAGCAACTCTCATCTCCTGATCTTTAATCGAGTGCGTGGTCCATGGAGACTACAGGGTCTCTGCATTAAATGATCCCTTTGAGCCTACTGGTCTCCATGCAAAATGCTGTGGCTTTGTTAGGGGTTGCATGTCCAGTTTGCAGATAAGCTTAGTTGTGATGACTGCATTGCGGTACTTGGTGGGCTGCCTGCTCTGGGAAGTTTGCTGAAAAATGTAAAATAACTTCAAGTTATGGCTTAGATGTTGTTGATTTTCTTCTTAAAGATAAAATTACCACTGGAAAAAGGAAACATGAAGATGATGAGCCAGTATTTGAACAAATTGAAAACACGTCTGATCCAGCTAGATGCCCTGTCAAAATGTTTGAGTGCTATCTGTCTAAAAGGTGAGTATGGTACAGGGTAATACAGAAGTGGTCTAGAGTAGACCAGGTACAAGCAGGAAATGTTTTGATGAAACATGAAATATGCTTCAGCAAAGGGAGTGGATTGAGATCTTCGGAAAAATATCTGAATGAAAGCATTGAAATCTCCAGTTCTGTATCTGGACAAGATGAGCAGAAAATATGGGAGCAGTGGAGTACTTCGGTGTTAATTGTCAAGGACTCCACTTGGGAATGACAGTATGATTAAGTTTTCTTGCTTGGAAACACCGAGTATTTCTGCGGAGATTACCAGCAAGGGATCTGGTAGGTTTTGCTATACTGAGAGTTTCATTTGTGAGGTCCCTGTCTCTTCAGTAAGAATTGGATTGAGACAATGGATTTGCTTTAATGTTATCAGGAATTTGAAATGTGGATGCTTTTGAGATACTAGCTTAAAAGCATCTTTAAAATATTTTGGTTTAGGAAAAAATGCTACTGGCTAACTCAGCATTTAGATTCAGCTTGTTTCCTTCCAATCTGCACAGAAATTAATATGTTAGAAAGAAAAGCTTAGGCAACTCAAAAAAAAAAAAAAAATTAGCAGCTAAATGTTTTGGAACTGTTTGAAAACAAGATTTCATGGGAAATACTTTCCTTTAATTGGATCAGCCATTCAAGTGACTGATTTTCATGGAGATTTTATGGAACTGTAAGTGAAATATAGGCAAGTGATACCAAAGAAATAAAATAACATTATATATACAACCCAATGAATCAAATGGAAGTATGAGACCCAACATATGTTAAGAAACAGTATCTTATTCTTAAAAGTGAAGAAATAGCTTACAAACAAGGCAGGCAGAAGAGCAAGTATGTAATGTAACAGAGAGAAACACGTAAAAAGTAGCTTGTGGTCTGTTAATGCAAGCACCTGTTTTTCATAAACTCAGTTAATTCCAGTTGTTGCAGGGTTGGTGTTTTTTGCCTTTGCACTATGCACTGTTATGGTTTGGAGAGGATATACCGTTACAAGTCGAAGCTGGATTTTTGAACTGAGTTACACAGCCAGCAGTGGAGAGAGAACAAATAATTTCTTTTTCTTTAGGAGCATCTCAACTTTGGGGAAAAGAATGCACTTAAACCCATTTGGAGCATCATTTACGGTGTGGTTTCAAGTCCTGCTGTCTTACAGATTTTGATCAGCGTTGCTGACTAGAGCAGCAGACTGCTTCTCCTGGTTCTGTTTCTAATAACACGTACCTCATGCCTTCAATGAAGTGGTTTTAAAAAATGTTTAACACTTTAAAAGCTATTGTAAAATTTAAGGTAGATGTTGCAATTTAAGGTATTATTGTAAAATTATTGCAGAACTATTGTAAAATTTAAGGTAGTGCCAGCTGTTTGCAGTATACGTGGCAATCAGTGGACAGTTGCAGCTGAAATTTCAGGATCCTCTCATTCACGGCTATGAGCACTATATCATTGCTTGTTTCTATAAAGATACTGGCTTGTCAAAAAAGTAGGAAGGGGGTTAAAATATTTAAATTACTAGAATATTTTAAATTATCATGTTTTGGCTTCTTATCTGATTCTTGATCTAATTGGTGTGAGAGCAGAATAAGCCAACATTCACCCCAGCAGGTAAAGAGCAACACCTGAAATTTTATCAGCTGGTTTGAAAAGATGAGCTGGTAAAAATTCCTATTTTTACCAAACAAACATGAAATGCAGTTGACCTCTGAAGTCTGCAGTATTTTCAAGGGAGGGAGCATGAGTGCATACTTGTACATGCAGAACTGAAAATTATTTTCTGAGACTTGCCTAAATGGACAAAATGCTAGAATTTCCTTGAGAGGTCTTCTCTAGTGGCTTAGAGGATACGTCTGAGCTGGATCAAGTGTGTATACAAACTCCAAAGTATTGCAGGTCAGAAATTAAAGGATTTTGAGACCTATAGTGACCAACCCTCTAAGTAAAATAGGAGGAGGAGGAATTTTAGTTTCTTGTATTTCTGTGCATCTCTCATCATTTCACCATCTTTGACTTTCAGGGGAACCCCAGACTCCGTATTCAGAGAGAGCCGCATCAGGCAGTGGTGGAAGCAATTACTCATGTCAGTCTTGGGCCTCTTTGCAAATCTGTCGATCAAGGGTTCCTAAATAGATAAGATAGTACTTTCTGGTTTAGCAAGACCTGGAGTGGTAAATTTTTGAAAGCTGGAAGAGTCTGTGGTCTCCTGTATGCTTGCTCAGTCCCAGGCTTTTGGCTGCTCTGAGGACGTGGGGTTGGCTGGGCTTGGGCCAGACCTGGCTTAACTCCTTCTGTGAACACGAGTGCATTTCTCCCCATTAATCTTCTTTTTGTAACTTGCCGAAGTTACAGTTAGAGTTTTGTTTACGGAGGATGTCGGAAGATACTGTTTTGTCCTTTGAGGCTGTTTTTCTAACCCCTCTTGTTTTCCCCCCTTGTAGTCCACAGAATCTGAATCAGAGGACGGACATGTTCTATCTGCAACCAGAGTGCTCCGTCTCCGCGGAGAGTCCCATCTGGTACACTGCCACTTCACTGGACCGCAACACTTTGGAAAATATGCTCGTACGGGTTCTTTTAGTAAAAGATATTTATGATAAAGACAATTATGAACTGGATGAAGACATAGATTAAAACAAACTTCCAAAAAACGTCAAGAAAACAAACAGCATTAGATATAGTCATGCTGCTAGACCTTTACTATGGAAAACATTTCAAGTTTACCCTTTGTTTTTGTAGCAGTGTGTACCCTCACCTGGGTATTACCGTGTAAATAGTCTGTGAGTGAAAGTTTCCATTATTCTGCATAGTGGTCTTAGGATACATAACAAACACATTTCAGATTCTTTTTTTATTATTTATTTGACTAGGTATGTTTGTAACTTTTTACATTGCAAAATATGAATGAGAATGTGCCATGTGTAATTTTTTTTTCCGTTGTAGTAATAGACATCCATATTGCACAACTCCGCTGTCGGAAGCTCCCTTGAAAGGAGGCTCTTTTAATGGGTTCTTAAACCAGATGGTTGTGTATGGGGTAGCACTACTAAAGTTTAGAACTTGCTGTGTCTTTCAGAATTTTTAAATAAATTGTAAACTAATAGGTTTTTTACTTTTTAGTTACTGAAGCCTTATAAGGTTATGTAGAGAGATTCCATCTTATGTACCAAAAATAGACAAAAGAGAATGCTGTCAATATTGGTGTACTGTAATGTGAATCTATTCTGGTGAAAACTCTTTTTTTTTGTTGCCCTTATTAAAACCTTAGTGTCCTTTCCTTATTTGTGACTCTCTCTCAATTGCCCCTACAAATAAAATATATGTATATAAAAATAAGTGAATATAAGCTTAAAGCATGTGGTCATCAAGACATGTATTTTGTAAAAAACAGAACCAAAACCAAAAACCCGTCCAAAAAAAAAAAAAAAGGAAAAAAAAAAGAAAAAAAAAAAAGAAAGAAATGTCTGATGACAATGCTATGTAATACTTTTCCATCTTTACTTTTCTGACCATAAATGCTGGTACCTCATATTACTGTAAACCTATCCTTTGTAGCCTTAGCAAAAAGGATTTTAATGCTGTATTACATGAAGTAATATGGTATGCTAAGTTCTTAACTTGTGTTTCTCCTTGCATTGCTGTATTTAAATACAGTCAATACTTGACTATGGGTGGGAAGATTCTTGTAATTAATGCCTCCATTCAAAAGCCATATGAGACGTGAAGTTGAAGAAAGTTGAAAGACAATTTTTTTGAAGAAAAGTCCTTTCATTTGTTCTATATCCTTTCATTGTGTTTACTTTGCATAAGGAGTCTGATTTCCAGATACGCGTTTAGCTGCTCAAGTTTTGTTACTTGCTCTCGTTTAACTGATGTGAGCAATATGACGGTTCATGCAATGGTTTTGCTATTGTACTGAAAAAAATGTAGTAGAATATTCTACTATAAAGTAGTCATAGGTTTGGCTCTCTGAAATGACATTAAGCACCTGTTCAGAGGAATCATCTACTAAAGGGGAAACTTTCTATGTATATATATTACGACCTTAGGATTTATTTCTTGGAAGGGCTGCATGGCTTTTTCATTTTCCTTAGCTTACAGGAATGCACATAGGGACACCTCTTTCTATATAGAGAAATAAAGCTTCAGTTCCTTTGTTTTGTTAAGCAAGTTTATTTAAATTTCTGCTATTCTTGTGTGCCTGTTAATATGTATTAACTTTAGTTATACCACTATTTCAAAAGTAGATGAAGATGTACATGTTTAATTTTTCATTTTTTTCTGGTGGCGCTGCCCTTCCTGTGAAATCAAGAAATGCTACGCAGCAACAGTCAGTAGATCACTAACAGCTTCAATGCTCTTTTCCCTTCGTGAGTGAGTATGTAAGAACTTAGTTCATTAACACTTGGTTTTTTTCAAGCAACAGCCATAGAATGTGCCCATGATACATAAAAGTGATAAAATCAGAAGTTGTAATCATGTTTTTTTTCTGGCTGCTCCAGGCCATACTTGACCATAAGTTAAATTTCACATATAGGAATCATCATTACTAATTACCTGCCTAAAATGCATCATGTGCTTAACTTGAAATACTTCGTTTAAATATACATTTCAGTTTTTTGATAGCAATAAGAATCACTTGTAGTCTCTTCTCTGCGGTTCAGACTTCAAGTACTTCAGCAGGAGCTTTAATCACTCCTTATTTAGACCAGTGTTTAACTACAAACACACTTTTGTAAAACTGAACTTTTAATGTGAAGCTTAAAGTATCCTACATCAGGACTAAAGTATGTGTATTGTGTTTTATCTTAAACAGAATTTAAATTCTTCTTCTCAAAATCACATTACAGCTATTTCTTAAATAATGAGGTCAGTTTTTAATATGGCATACTACACAATGGGCATGCATTTTCAGTGTCATTAGAAAATAATGAATGCTCCCTGAAGTTTATCAGAAATCGTGTTATCATCCTAAATTTCTCCCATTTTCTACTCAAGAGACACCTTCTATATCAGTATAAGTATTCAAGTTAGGTTTTGAAATAGAAATTTTTACACATAGATCCACGTTGGAAATATAAAGATGGCTGTCAAGAAAATAACCTTTATTCCAGAAGATGGAGCTATTCCGTCATCAGCAATAGTGTTTTTCAAATGTTTAGTGTGTTTAGATCAAACATTGTAAACTGGCGAGATACTGCAGTCAAGAATGCATCATGGCTCAATGTTTGCATTTTATTCCTGAATTTGAATGGTGATGCAAAATGCAATAAAAGGCCTTAGTTCTGAAAAAAAAGACATGCAATTTTCTGATAATTAGGAGTTCAGGGTAAATACATTTTCTTTTGCTTTGTGGGAACTGTCAGCAGCTGGACTAGAATCAGGTTGATGTCACCAAGTTACCTGCACGTTGCTGTTCTACACAGAACTTCCAAGTTAATGATGCATATCAGGAACCTGCCCTCGCTTTCCACCTTAAGAGGGTGTGAAGTGGGAACCTGGCTGTTCCAGCCATCCTTGCGAGCTCCAGCACAGCTCACCTGAGCAGTGTGGGGACTATCCTGCTCTGTCTGCATGGAGCCCTGCAGATGGTGCTGGCAATGCACTCCGGTCCAGGCAGGATTCTCCTTACTTCTCGAATCATGCCTCCACGTGCTCTGTGTCTCCTCAATTTGAGATCTAGTTTTGAACAGTTCACAGTTGAAGTAGGAGCCTCAAGATCCTAAGAAAATTAGATGACAGCAGTAGACAAATTACATACAAAATATAGTTCAGTGTGAGAAACAGTGAAAAAATTGTGCAATTTTTAGAAATTTGCTTTGTTAGTCATCTTTTTTTCTATAAATTGTGTGCGCTCATTGGAGAATGCAGCCTTTTGTAATTACTGAACTAAGCATAAATCATGTTAATTTTTATTGAATGAAGGGTTGTGGTTTTGGAGTGATTTCAATGTGTACAATACTAATTATCTTTAAAATGCTCACAGTGTGACTCTAATGCAGCAAAGTTTGTTTGCTTAGTATCTAGGAGTTCGGCCTGGTAGAGGCTGTGTGAATAGGTGGGAAAAACAGAAGTGACCCATAAACCTTGCATTCCCAAAAGGAGGAGGTGTGTGAGGTGGAAGAGAAAAGGCATGAGTGGTGGTAGGCACTCACCTCGTTTCCATTTTCACTGTCCTTTTTCATTATATAGGAGTGTGTTTTTCTGCTATAGTTTCACATTTTTCTCTCTTACTGTTAGGAAGGACACTTCAATGTTTTGATTTCTATTGTTGTGAACATTCACTTTTCAGTTTGTTACGCTCGTGTTGTGCGTTATACGATATGCATGACATGTAAGGTGGAGTGTGATGTGGAATAAATGGAGTGGGAGCTTTCTGATTCCTTTTTCCCTGGGTGTGAGGACTCTCAATGAAACTGGAATTCAAAGTGTTTTAAGGCCAAGAAGTTACCAAGATTTTAAAAGGGTGTTAGACAGACCCTCATATGTGACTGTCCAGGTTATAATGGCAAATGCTAACAGTGCTTTGGAAGCACTGAAGGTTGAGTTACCCTTTGTTTAGGGTTCGATCAAAGCCATAGGGTTTGTGTGAGGGGTCTGAATGTGGCCACAGCGCTGGACACGCTGTCCCCGAGGGCTCAGTTAAGTGTGACAATTTCCAGTTTCTCAAGTCAGAAATACATCCTTCTTCTAGCAGCTTTTTAATGTGACATGTTGAAACCTGAAAGCCTCAGCAGCACATGGGCCACGTGGGTGCTTGAAACCAGCACATAATGGGACACGTGCTTCAGCACTTGGGCTGATTTTAGTGCCCGTAACACTAATTAGCCATCTCTTCGGAGCCCGGTGAGCGTGGCGGGCATCTTGCAGGTGCATGAAGATGATGTGGACATTAGTGCCCACCTGCTGTGCCAGCCCGGTTGGAGCCCCAGCTGGCGGCTCTGCCGTGGCAGGACCCCAGCGTGCGGTGGGCGCAGGCGGGCAGAGCTTCCCCTCTCCTGCCCGCAGCCAGGGCAGGACCTGCGCCGTGCTCAGGGGCATCTCTCCTACTCTTTCCTTTGCTGTCAGGTTGCTTCAGAGTTTCTTCCTCTTTGTCTCTGCTGGAAAATGTGTGACTGCAACATGAGCGGAGTTCACGACTGGGTGTGAAATAAGTCTTGGGCAGGGAAGGAGCGGAAATTATAAATTATTATTCTCTCATGAAACGTGGTTTTACCCAGGCAAACCAGTGCTGGTGGCAGTCCTGGAAGCACTTCTGAGCAGAACAATTTCTGCAGATGTTCACAAAAGCAAATAGAGAAAACGAGAAGATCAAACTCAACTTTGATTTCTTAGTCAAGGAATTTTTCAAACTCCGAGGACGTGAGTATGAACGGGACGTGAACATGACCTGAGTTTTGCTTTCTCCATGATGTGGCGTTTCTCAGAGAGGTGACACGTGGCACTTGGTGAGGGCTATTTCTGGCTGACCCCCACCTTGGGACAGGGGGCAACATCAAGGCAGCAGCAAAGCTGCTATCTTCCTTCTTGACATGAGTGCTGAAGGCTTCCCAGAATTGTTCCTCAAGTTTATGCCTTTATTGTACTGGTTTTGCCTGCTTTGACCTAAAACTGTGAGAGTTTTGACAGAAGGGCAGATACTGAAAAGATGTGTCCCACTGTCGCCTGGTGCTTACGGCTGTGCAGGAGGTGAAAGCTTTGGAAAGCAAGGCCTGTGGGTGCTGAACAGGCAGCCAGCATTTTGGGCTTGAGAGATCTGGAAATAACAAGAGAGAGCATTACACCAGCTCCTCCTTTGAGCTGTGACTGTTTCCTGAGTTTGAGTTTGTGTACTTTAAAAAAACAACAAACAACCAAACAAAAAAAACCCAAACAACTGAAAAAACCACTACCATTTTGGTGGGTGGTTCTTCCTACTCACAAGCAGGCTGTTCTGGTTTCTTCCAGAAGAACAGCTCGATGATGGGTCTTCTCCCCATACAAGATGAGTTAGGTTTATTAGCATCTTCCTTTATTTATGTATGTATTGATTTATTTATTTAGATAATTGCTCCTGGTTCACAGTCACAGGGGAAGGAAGTGTTCAAAGCATTAGTGGGTTGTGTCATGTACAATGTGCCTGGATACTTGTAAGTCCTCTATTTTGTTTTTACACTAAAATTCTGGTTCATAAAACTTGAAACCTCTTTGTCCTTTCTGGGAAATGAGCGGGAACATCTTTGTCATCTGCGTAACTTAAACTGCTGACATTTCATTTGTGCCAAATGACTAAAAGTGCTTT